GTTCAATATTGAACATGATTGAACTGAACCTGAACCTGAACTTGACCAAAGTTCGGTTTCAGTTCGGTTCATAGGAATACTACTCGTTCTCATTATATGAATGTATCATTGCTAAATCAACTAGTGTTGCATCATAATATAGACACTGTGCCATTTTAGTACACTCTGTAGAAATAATATGTGGTGTTAAAAATTCTGAAATTTTTTGATCAATAAGAGGAAATATTTCACTTCCAATGGAGGTAATTCCGATACAAGAAGACAGAGTTTGATACTTGAAGAAACGGTTCCACTCAGCCTCTTTCTCAAGTCTAGAATCTAGTGCCTTAACCAAATCATATAAACTACTTTTACTGTATAGTACTTGCTTAATAATATTGTTGTACCCTTCAACACGTGAAGTTGTTTTATTTCTGCAGTAAAAACCCAAGATGTGAAGGCACATGCCCACAAATAGTGACTAGGATAAAGAACTCGATTTAAATATTTTACAGCAGGTGGGTATTTTTGTAATATGGGGTCTTTGCCTTGAAAATCAAGTATGAGACATATGATTTACTATGTTCCGTAACTCGATTTTCAAGGCAAAGACCCCATATGTTTTGCCATCTTGTTTCAAATAACTTTTTATCCAAAGTATTGCGGCAGTGAAAGAATTCTTTAATAAAGTTAATATATGTACTACCTAATACCACCTTAAGATTTTTTGGTAAATTTTGATTGATATAATAGATACAATGTAAGGATTTAGTAGTCTCATATACTTGTCGAAATGCACTATCTATTGCTGGATCTGCATCTGTAATAAATACTAGTGGCTCTGTGCCAGTTGCTTTTTTGGTATATTGAAAGATCCACCTATATGAATCAACAGTCGGATACTAATGTCCGTGCAACTAAACGGGATCTGGTGTTATTGTTAACAATAAGAAACAAACTAAGTGGCATTTGGTATTGATTTGTTTTAGCCGTGTTATCATTAAGAACAACATCATGATACTCAAGCCAAAGAGATACTTGAGCAGGGGTTATCCAAAAAAGTCTAATAAGACGATTATCAGAATCTAATTCAAATTCGACTATCTAACCCGATTTATCAGATCGCTTGTTATTAAGAAATGAAAAAAGACATGAGGTATCTGTAACTTCAAGATCTTGAGATTTGGTTTTAAAGTGTTGAATAGCATTTGCAAGGTCTCTGTCTAAAAAAGTTGTATTTGGATATTTGGCTTTTAATAATTGACGCTGAATAGTAATTGAAAGATTTCTATTTTTAGTATAGAATTCAATTTCTTTTATAACATCCTTTCCAATTGATCAGAATTTAGGGCTATATTTGCATATCATTGGGTGGAGCTCATGATTGTGGTTATTAACAAATATCATAACTGTAATACAAGTAGCACCTTTAGAAAGGCTTAAATTTATATGCTATTCACAACCTTGACGTTTAGACCGCTGTTCACAGTGAGTATTAATATCAACACTCTTTTTAGAATTATATGTTTCTCTAAATTCACATCCAAAGGCTCTATGTTTTATTATATCATTGTTATCTAATTTTAATAACTGCAAATTCAAATTGTTAGCCATATGCTTCAAAAAAGGAATTTACATCATTCCAATTTTGAAATGTGTAACCAACATTTAATAATGAAAAATTATAGGATTCATCTAAAAAATATTATTTTAAAATATGTAATTTATACTTGCATAAACCAATTCTTTGGTTCAAATTCATAATAGAAGACTAGCGTAAACTGATCTTTTATTATTAATTTTTACTAAAAAACCGGACCAATCTTATAGTACAAATTATAATTTAAATTTTATACTTGCCACTATTAATACTTCTAGCAGAATTATCAACTTCTATATCAGTACTTTCGACTTCAAAATTAATATTTTCACCTTCAACACCAATATCTTCAATAATAATGTCTTCACTTTCAGTACTAACATCATCAACATCAATATAATTGTTACTAGTCATACTGTATTAATTCACTTTATTTCTAATTTAAAAGGTTTCCACTATAGAAAAATGATTTTGTAATATCGAATATAGAGTTTGGGTACAAGGTTTGAAAATTTCTTCTGTATTCACTTAATTAATAACTTTGCTGCGCCTATATCACAACAAATATCGTCATAATAATTGATTTTATGCATATTTTTAAGTATGTACCTCCATATTTACTTAATTAATAACTTTGCTGTGCCTATATCACAACAAATATCGTTATAATAATTGATTTTATGCATGTTCTTAAGTATGTTCATACATACATACGTATGTTTCAAGGTTTAATATTACATGACGCCAATACCAAAATTTAAAAATCATTATCAAAGTTATAGTATCATGTTTTATGGTACTAAATTTTGTTATACAATGCACCATACTATAACCCCTGTGACAAAAAAATTTATTACGGGGTGTAACAAGAACATTTATCCTTTAAATATATATATATATTAATATTTAAGAAGTATATATATATTATAAAGTTCTATAATCTATAGATTCTTTGTAGCAACAGACTGGGACTCATGGTTTGACCCAAGTGTTACCTGTCGCTCTAGTGATTACTTTATTATCTAAATCAGAAAGGGTCAAAATGTGGGGTAAACTGGAGCTTCTCTAAAGCCTGGCTATAACAGCCCCACCAGGGGTCTAGACACTTTTTCTATGTGCCACATCACATTACTGCAAAAGTGTCTAAACCCCTGGTGGGGCTCTCTATAACCCTCTATATTTTTTTCAAAAAAAATATAAAGCTTTTTTAAATATATAATTTAGAGAATGTTAATGCAATTAAACTTTTAAACAAAAAGCTTCATATTTAAATTAACTATTAAATATTTAATATGCTTATAGCATCTCAAAAAATAATATCTATTGCTAAGGATAACATAGTATAATCTAACTTTAAATATGAGTGTTACAAAGCTAAAACATACAAATTTTATTAGATAAGATTTGCATGTTTTAGCTTTGCGGCATTTATATAATATCTGGTTTTTTTTTTACTTATTATCCATGGGTAATATTTAGTTTAAAAATAAAGTTTGTATAAGACCTGACTATACTAAATAATATAAAAATAATAATATAAAACTTGCCTTTAATTCTCTTTTTCCTAAATTATAAAGTGATATAAGTGTATTCTTTATTGTATTAGCTTTGACTAATTTTGCTTTAGGATTTAAATACTAAACAATATCTACTAACTTAGGGTTTTCAATTATAAAGAATGGGTACTGACGTTTAACAATTTATAAGATGAACATGTTACAAAGCTTTAAATTATCAATTTCATTTGAAGTCATAGCAGAGATGTTCTTAGGGTCCTGAATAAAGTTATTTAAATTATTTGGGTTTAAAAGGCTTAAACAAGCAATGACTAGTGTTTATTTTTTATATGTGCATATACAAATCTAATCAAATTGCTTTATTTTCAAAAAATCAAGTAATTTGATTGGATCTGCACATATACACTCACGTAAAAAATTAACACTAGTAATAACTTACTTCTTTAAATATTTCCTTAATAGTGCTATGTTTGTCTTGAACCTTCTTTTTTTTATTATATGTCTTCATTATAATATACTGAGACCAATGAGCACTTTCTAAGTGCTGCCATAGTGTTTTGGTTGAACCCCACTTCTACAAGAAAACTCTTTTTTTTCATTTAACTTTCCTAAAGAAAACCTACACCTCACTTATACTATGTTGCTTACTAATATTATTATTATTATCAAGGTCATTATCAAGTTCATTGTCAAGATCATTATTGGGGTTATCTTTATAATCATTTTCATAATCATTTTTATAATCATTTTTGTTGCCATTGTCATAATTATTATTATAGTCACTATTATGGTTTAATACAGATAAAGAAGTCATCATTATGCAAAAATATTTACATAGTTGATATTAAGTATAAGAAAGTTTACAAAGATAATTTCTTCTTTAAATATGTTGTCTTATGCATATATATATTATTGAAAGTAGTAGCTATTCAATACGTCAATATCTAGTTTTTTTTTTAGCCCTATTAGCAGATAACTTGGGCTAGTATATTTTTCTATTATATGAACAAGATGCCTATTATTGAAACTAAACAGATAAATACTTGTATAATACTGTATATCAGGTTCTACTTGAAATGTAAAATAAAGTTCTGAATCTAAGTTAGACTTCAATAATAACATGTTTTTCTAAAAGTTCTTTAATACATAGAATTGTTCAGGAATTCAACTTGCTGAAATTTAAAATATTTAGTTGCTCGATCCTTAAACTGGTGACTTTCTAATTTTATTAATATTATATGGTGATTATAAACTTCAAAACAATATATTTACAAATACAAATAATACCAAGATCAAAAACTTATTAAATTCGGCCAAATAATTTTCAATTAATGTTTTACTATTTGTTCTAGGATTTATAAAATAGTTGTAAAAGCAATAATCGTGAATATATACTGAGAGTCGCAGCTAACTATAAATAAAGTAATAATAAAATTAGAAAATTAGAACACAAAAAATTAGGTCTAGCCCTAATAAGCATGCTTCATTACTGCCTAATTTTATACACTAGTTAAAATGCCAACAATCAATATATAATTATGATACTTCATCAATTTATCATTATTTTATTAATTACTACTAAATATATGAGCAGCAAGAACAAAAAAGTGCAAGTAAATATTTGACTCCAAAAAATATCATACGATTTTAGCCAATCAATCTCAAGATCAGAATAATCTTAAATTTGATTGGTCAAATCGTATGATATTTTTTGGAGTCAAATATTTATTTGCTTTCAAACACTTATATCTAGTGCTTTTTAAATCTATAGTACATATAATAATGATATTACTTCTTAATTTAATTCATAAAAAATGTAATTTATACCTTATGAAGTTTCTGTTTACTGTATAAGTATACATTATTAGGCAAAGACTTGTGAATAACAGCAATTTGGCTCAACCGAGCAAATGATTTGCTGACAAGTGCTACAAAGCAGCACGTGTCAGACAATTGTTTGCCCGGTTGAGCCAAATTGCCGTATTCACAAATTTGCTCAATAATAGTATTATCTGACAATTTATAATCATGATTAGTAGAGAGTCATGCTGAGATTTTTTTTTGAATAATTTGGAAAAACATAATTACATCGTAACATATAAAAAAATAATAGAAAGAAAGTTTTTCATGATCATATAATTTTGTTGGATAATGGTTTATTAATTATTACTATTACGTACATTAATTATTACTAATTAAGATAGATTATTTTAAAAAAACTTGATTGTATATATGTATGTATAAATCATTTCAAAAGATTATTGCATTGTTTAAATTCTTGATTTATCCAAGGTTTATTTTCTTGGTGTGAATCATTTAACAAATTAATATAACATATAAAATCCAGAAAATTATATATTTGGTTATAAA